CCTCCCTGTATTTTATCTATCTATCTATTTATCTATTTATTCATTGGTACAGGGGATCAAACTCAGGTCCTTGTGCTTGCAAGGCAGGCAGCAGAACCACTGAGCTAAATCTCCAGCCCTCCCTGTATTTTAGATTCGTGAGCTTCCTTGGTCCTCATGATCCCTGGTGTGTGGGGTCCAGGTTGAATGTGGATTGTGAGAGTGGGTGGTTACATTTTTAGGAAATTGTGAGCAGTGGTTAAACCCTTGGCAGCTTGAAATTAGTCTTGTGGGAGTATTTACCCTACAGAAATTGTCAAACACATGAATCAGGGCCTTCCCCAGACCCAGAGATCCGATATCACTGCATGTGTGTGTGTGTGTAAGAGACCCCATTTATAGATGAAGAAACTGGGGTTCAGAAAAGTTAAACTGTTGTCCCAAATCAACCAACTTAGTAGGTGACAGATCCGACCTTAGAATCCCACATCCCATACCCCTAGCCTCTATGCCATCCTGTAAAAGAGAAAATGTGTACAAAGGAGTTTCGCAGACAGGCAAAGCTGCACGAATATTTATTCCAAAGGTTGATGCAGAAGAAAAAAAGAAACCTTCCCTTTCTGCCTTTGCACTGCTGGTCCGCACAAGGGGCTGCACAAGGGTCTAATCAGGTCTCTCCTGCCTCCCCCGCCCCCGTAATTTTTCAAGTCATCCTTCTCACATAGGTGCGTTATTCTCAAAAAGTTATTCTTTTCTCTGTTCATTTCTTCTGCTTCTCAGCATCCCGCTCTCCCTTGTTTACCATCCGCCTTCCGGAATCCGCCTCTGCTGTTTCCCATTTCACTCTCCGTCCCGCCCCCATCCTGGCAGTGAGGAAGTCAGAATAGAAGCAGCCTGTTGCCGCCCCCTTTTTATCAGAATCTGAGCCCAGAACTAATCGTGCCCCACGAGTCTGCAACAATTACTAGTGTTCCTTCTTCACGGGTGACAGAGAGGCCAGACGCCCCATCCTCCCATCGCTTCCCTTGTTCTCTGACACCCGGCAGAAGCCACACGGTTCCATTTGATGGTCGTCACAAATAACATGCTTAAGAAACCTGGAATTATAAAACTGCTTAATTAGGGAGAGATGGTTTCACTGGGATATGCCCAGTTTTCCCTGGTGGTTTGATCTCCTTCTCAGAGTGGCCCGCCCTACTCCCGCAGCTAATTGCTACTTTTAACATTGGTGCCACATAGATCCTCTCTCCTTTAATTTTATTTTCTGTGACATCAGTGCTCGCTTATAAAATGGAGCTCTCTCTCCGATCTTCCAACTCTCCTTTGTCAGCAGCAAACTCTAAAAAGTTAACATGAGTAAGAATGGGACCTTTAGCTCCAAGGGCGCCTCAGTTATTAAATGAGCACCTACGATGGGGCTAGATGCTGGGAAAATACCCAGAGTCAAATGGTCTCCTGTGTGGGGCTCATGGTCCACTGAGAGAGACAAATGCTAAAATAAATGTTTAAATATTGGAGAAGTCCTCTGAAGGAAGAAGAGAGAAGCAAGGGCATATCATTGGACGAAAAGGAAGAAAGAAAAAATGGATGGATGACTGGACACATAAATGGCTGAACAAATGGCTGGAGGTGAGGAAGAGAGGAAAAGAAGAAAAAGGAATATTCTGGGTGTGCACTGGGTCCAGGGAAGAGTGGCAAAAACAGGTTAAGGTTGGAAGTTGGAGGGACTCGGTGGTTGGTCCAGGATGAGGTGAAACACCCAAAAGGTGAGAGATCCTAAGTGAGAACAATTTGGGGGACATGAAGAAATGGGGCAGGTGAAGTTGGGTGATCCTGAATACAAAGCTCAAAACATGGGTGTTCTGCAGAGCTGGGGGCCTCCTGCTGGGCTGTGGACAAGGTCAGGCAGCCCTTGCCCTCCACAGAGCTGCTGTAGCATTGGTCCAGTATCCCTCATGCCATTGGCCATGGAAAACAAATAATGGCAGCCACCACACACATCTGTTCTTCCATCACCTCCACCTTTCAGAAGTTCCAGGAAGAAACAAGCATTTCCCTCTGGGGATGTTTCTGGGTATGAGGGGCTGGCAGGAGTCAGGAGGGCTAATGAAGTCCCTTTGGGAAACAGTGATGTCACAACAGAGAGGCAGCCAAATGGTCGTAGAGGTGAAGGCCACTGGGTAACAGGATGGGCCTCCTTGACGGTCGGCAGATATGCACACATCAGCTTCGCAGGGTCCCCTTCTGAGTGGCCTGTGGCAGGCCATCAAAGAGTAGGTAAATCTGTATCCACATGCTACACACCATCTATTGGTGGATAGGCAACATATGTTATAACCTTCTTCTCTCTAACTTGAATTAATAGCACAGTAGTTACCAAAAAAATGGAAAAAGGAGAAAAACACATAGACAATGAGTATTTTTTACAGTCACCATTTTTTCCCGCTTGGAACTATCAAATGAACATTTCTAGATAAACTTGACCAGGATGATTTAGTCCTTCCTCCCTCCTTCCCTTCCTCCCTCCTTCCCTGTCTTCCTTCTTTCCTGCATATAGCACTGGGGATTGAACCCAGGGAGTGCTTAGATACCTACCTCCTGCCCTTAAAAAAAATGTTTTTAGGGTTGGGGATTTAGCTCAGTGGTTCGGTAGCCTGCCTTGCAAGCGCAGGGACCCAAGTTCAATCCCTGGTACCAAAAAAAAAAACTTTTTTAAAATTTTTATGTTTAGACAGGGTCTCACTAAGATGCCCAAGCTGTCCTTGAACTGGTAATCCTCTTGCCTCAGCCTCCGGAGTAGCTGGGATTACAAAATGTGCCACTACTCCTGGCTTCTTTTTAAACTTCTAATTTGGAATAATTTTACACTTAACGAAAGTGGCAAGCACTGTACCAAGTATTGGCAGACACTGCACCTTCATCCAGCTTCCCCTCCCTGTGCTAACATCTGATGTAGGCATAACTGAAGCCAGGAAATTAACATGGATGCTGTTACTGCAAGGCAAACTCCAGCCTTTATTCCGGTGTTGCCAGTTATCCCACTAACATCTCTGTCCTCCTAGTCCAATGTGGAGTCCAAGACACCACTCTGTATTCACTTGTCACGCCTCCCTAGCTGGGTCCCATCTGATAATCCCTTGGATTCTCCTTTCTCTGTGACCCAGTTATGCTGTGGGCCTCATGTGGATTTGTGTCTGGCTTCCTGGTGATTAAACTAAGGTTATGGGATTTGGGGGCCAGGATATCACCATAGTGATGATGCCGCCTTCTTCGCTGTCTGGTATCAGAGAGTTCAGGGTATTCCTAAGACTTATTTTGAAGATTTAACCTTGATCACTAGTTCAGGGGGTGTGCAGCTGATATTGTATGCGTCTTATTCTCTTTACTATAAAGTTGCTATTTTGGACTATAATTTTTAATGCCTCAGGGGCTCTCCAGTCTAGATCTCTATCCTAAACACACCCTCTTTTTCGTACATTTACTTGGTGACTTTCTGTGTTGCCATAAAGAACACTGCAGTGGCCTTCTTTATTGACCCCTGTTTCTGCCTATCCCTAATTATTTTATTAGGAGACTCGCTGGAGCACAGTTTACTCAACTTTTTCAGGTTGTGGATGCCAAGGACACGATTATATTTTTGTTTGTATATTTCTTTGTGTTAACCAGATTTATCAAAGTATCATTTAAATATAATAAAATGCACAGATTTGGAGCAGATATTTCAGTGAGTTCTGGCGGATGTGCGGACCCACGTAGTCGCCGTCCCCATCGAGATACACAATTTTTCCATCACTTCCAAAACCTCCCTGACGCCCTCTGCATTAGTCTTCCCACCCTCTAGAGAAGCCATCAACCTGATTCCTTTCACTCCATGTTAGTTTTGCCTGTTCTTGGGCTCCAGACAAATCGGAATTGCAGAATGTATCGTCTTTTGCAACCGTCTTCTTTGATTTGGCGTAACATCTGCAAGGTTCATCCCCATTGCTGCCAGTACTGACCATTTGTTAATTCTCATTGCTGCATAGTAGCCTATTGCATAAATATCACCAGGATTTGTTTATCCGTTCTTCCTCTGATGGACACTTGGGCTTGTTCCAGTCGGAAGATTTTTATGAATAAAGCTGCTAAGAACATTTCCATACATGCGGACATATGTTTCCATTTCTCTAGGGTAAATAACCTCAGCATGGAATTACAGGGTCAGGAGGTGCGTTTATGTTGACCTTTATTAGACACGACAGGACGGGGTTGTTCTCATCTCCACTGCTAGCACCAGCTGCAGGAAGCTTGCAGGACGTAGGCACGGGCAAAAGGACAAGGGGAGTACAGTAGGACCTGGGGCCAGCATGATGCTGGGTGCGTCTCCAACCATCTGCTTCAGTTTCTCAGAGCAATTCCATGGTGGGGGAATGGGACTCCCCTTCTGTAGGAGAGGAAACTGAGGCTCACAAATGTGCAGCAGGAGAAGAGTCAAACCCAGCTCGGTGGGAGATGCTGGGCCCCCTTTCTCTCCCCGGCCTGCTACCAAGGAGGCAGCAGGTGATGGATGGAGATGGGAGGGTTGAGCAGCTGTCTGCTCCCGACCTCCTAGCCTGTGTTACCTGTACCAGCTGCCCTCCCGCCCAGACCCCTGGAGACAGGCCCGGTGATACCTGAATCAGCGTGTTCCCTAGGCAGTGACTATACCACCATTTCACTTTGAGCCCTCCAAGCCACCGCAAGAACCAGAGAGTGACCACCCTCCGGCCCTGGGCCAGCAGTGTAGGGTTTCTCCCTCCCTGAAACCTGATCCTGGGTGCTTTGATCTTCTGGGCCAGTGGGTGTTGGGTGAGGGCATTGGGCAGGGGCCGTGTCTCCCTGGCCATATCGGGCCCCATTAAAGCTGGCCTGAGTGCTTTCCAAAGCTGATTAATGGCCTGCCTCTGACCTGGAATGTCATTACTGCTGGACCGAGGGCCCCCCAGTCTGGTCCTTTGGGTCTTTACTGCTAATAATAATTGATGCTCTTTGTGTGTTTGCAGGGAAAGTTCTATCTGGTCATCGAGGAGCTGAGCCAGCTGTTCCGATCGCTTGTCCCCATCCAGCTGTGGTACAAATACATCATGGGTGACAACTCCTCCAACAGCTATTTCCTGGGAGGGGTCCTGATCATTCTGTACAGTCTCTGCAAGGTGAGGTGGCCCCGGGGCTGGAGAGCTGACCAGAGGAAGGCTGAGTCCCCTAGACAGGCGTGCAATAACCATTCCATAACCATTTCTGCTCTCTTCTTTCCTTCCTTTTCTTTTCTTTTTAAGACACAGTCTCACTAAATTTCCCTGGCTGAGCTTGAACTTTCAGTCCTCCTGCCTCAGCCTCCCGGACTACTTCCTTCTATTTGTAAATTGGGATAAAATTCACACTGCCTAAAATTAGCTGCTAACCATTTTGAAGTGTGGGACTCAGTGGCATTCAGCAGATTCACAGTGTCATGCATCTACCACCTCTACCTAGTTCCAAGACATGTTCATCACCCCAAAAAGAAACCTGGTAACCATGAACCAGCCAGTCCCTCAGTTCCCTGCCTTCCCCTCCCACCCTGGCAACCACTAATGTACTTTCTGTCTCCTGAATTTGCCTATTTTGGATGCTTCAGCTAAATCAAATCTTATAATGTGTGACTTTTGGTGCCTGGCTCTTTTTACATAATGTCTTTGAGGTTCACCCACATTGTAGCATATGTCAGTACTTTTTATGGCTGAATCCACCTCAATTTCTTGCCTACGAAGTTCACCATATGCTACCCTTTCATTTAGTCATCTTTACGACAGCACTTCAACATACATACCATTATCACTCCCATTTTATAGGTGCAGAAACTGAGGCTTAGAGTGATGGAGTTGCTGGCCAACGTCACAAATGACAAGCATCAAACCCCATCACACTGCCTTCGAAGTCCAGAACTCTTAACCGCCTTACCATTGAATTTGTTTCCTCTTTTTTAATCTCAAAAATAACCCTCTTATGTTGCATACCCTCAACTCCTCAAATCAGGATGCAGTGATTTCTTTCTCATTATTAATATAAATCAGGGTTTCCCCCCCTAAAAAATCAATACGTCCTCCTATTTTTGTTTCACATTTTCTCTTTCTGGTTTTAGAAGATTGTAGGGGAATGCATATGTTCTCTTTCCTTCCTCCCAGCAGGACCATCCCGCAATCCATGCGGTGTCAGGCATCGGACCTTATCCTGTTGGCAATTCTGATCAACTGGGAGAGGCTGACTAGCGTGTGGGGTGGAGAAGCATTATCAAACTCTGGCTGGGATCAGAGGAAGAGTGTTGTGATTGATTAGCAATGCCTGCACTGGGCTTGAGAAGAGGAAAGTGCAGTATGTGTGCCATTTACCTGCTATCCTGGCCTAGGTTATAGGGGAGACTCTTGATACCAGGCAGCAGCACACAAGCCAAGCAGAAATAATACAAACGGGAAGAGGTTTTCCGAAAATGTTCTGCATCCAAAACAGAGGCAGAGTCTGCCAGGGAGATTGTTCAAAGGTCATAGGAGATCCAGAGCAACGCCTGGACAATTTTCAGCCATCATTCTGTTCTCTTTTCAGTCATTTGACATCTGTGGCCGTGTGGGTGGAGTCAGGAAAGCCTTGAAGCTTCTCTGTACCTCTCAGGTGAGTTGGTTCTAGGTGGTCCTGACTGAGTCCTTAGAACTGGGAGCTGGAAATGGCAGCGGCCCCTTTCTCACCCCTGAGTGACCCACGGTACCCCTGAGGCCGTGGCTATGCTTGTCTCTCCCAAACTCAGAATTATGGTGTCCGAGCCACTGGGCAACAGTGCACAGAAGCCGGAGATATCTGTGCCATCTGCCAGGCGGAGTTCCGAGAGCCTCTGATTCTCCTGTGCCAGGTAAGCAAGACTGTGCTTAGATTGATCCAGGTTCAAAGCTAAGCTCTACTTCTTATGCGTTGGGTGGCCTTGGGCAGGTTACTTTGCCTCTCTGAGCCTCAGTATCATCAGTAAAATGTAGAAATGCCAGGTTCAGTGTGGTGTAGTATCAGAATACAGAACACCTAAGCATGGATCTCAGCTGTATTCTCCACCTTCCATCTCCCCTTTTCTTTTTTTTTTTTTTTTTTTTTTTTTTTTTTTGGTGTCAGGGATCGAACTCTGGTCTTTGTGCTTGCAAGGCAGGTGGCGGAACCACTGAGCTACATCCCCAGCCCCTCCCTTGTCATTTTTAAAATGAGCATAGCAATACCTATTTCATAGAGCTGTTACCATGCTTTAGTGAGATCATCTATGGAAAGAGCTAAATTTGAATTATCCAGCCATAGAAGGAAGTTGCTAGTATTATATTTATTATTATAAGTACAGTTATCGTTGCCATTTGTTTTCATATCCGTCAAAGGTCACCAAGCCACGGTGGTAAGTGCTGGTCAGTCCCTTTTAACTCCCTAAATGGGTCCCTCCTCCTCCCCCTGACATCAGGGGCTGGGTGTCAATTCAGCAAATGTGCACTGGGTCAGAGCGTCCTATTAGACACTGAGAGGGAAAGCAGAGGGCACACAGAGCCTGTCTTCTCCTCTGGAAGCTGGTGGCCTCCTTGGGGAGACAGACACATACATAAATAACCATGAAACAAGGCAGGCGGTGATAAGTGCTGTGTAAGAGAGATTCATGCAGGATCCCAGGGGACCAGGGCAGAGAGCAATGCGTTCCAGGCTGGGGAGGATTTTTTGGAGGAGGCAGAAGCCCAGAGCCCAGAAGGAATGGAAAGACAGATGGCCTGTCCTACACTCCCTGAAGGTGGGACAGGAGTTGCAGTCCTCTTTTAGCATTCAGAAAAAAAAAGATTTTTGTTATTGTTGTTCCGGGGTGGGGGTTTAGAAGAGTTCGTTTGTAAATTTCATTTTTATTTCTTTTAAAATCGATGCTCTTGGCATAGGTCAGCATGGACAAAGGAGACAGAGGAGACTAGACAGCTACATGCAGTATGAGACCTGGAACTAAGACGGGACATTTAAAGTGGTAGTTGAGGCCAGGCGCAGGGGCGCACGCCTGTAATCCCAGCGCTCAGGAGGCTGAGGCAGGAAGATTGCTGGAGTTCGAGACCAGCCTGGGCTACACAGTGAGTTTCAGGTCAGTCTCAACTATGCAGTGAGACCCTGTCTCCAAAACAAAACAAAACAAAGAAAAACAAAATACAGTGCTAGTTGAGTGAAATCGTAACCAAGCCTGGAGTTAGTTAGTAGCATTGTATCCGTGTGGGTCTCTTAGCCTTGGTAAATGCACTATAGTGATGCAAAAAGATAATATTAGGAGAAACTGAAACTGGGTGACAGGTATGTGGAGATTTTCTGTTCTGTCTTTGCTACTTTTCAGTATGCCTAAAATTATTCCAAAATAAAAAGTTTATTTTTTTAAACATTGCAGCGTATGCGAGGAATGGTAACAGACCTCCTACCCTTCCGCCTCAGGTCCCTCATCCCCCTTTCTCCTGCACAAGTCACCAGTGTGACCAATCTCCTCCGTGCCTTTCCAGAGATGATTTATAGAATTTAAATGTATATGTTAAACATGCAACACACACACACACACACACACACATCTATAAACAAGTTCAGACAAACACACAGAAACTTTATTTATTTATTTGGAACCGGGGATCGAACCCAGGCCCTTGCACTTGGTAGGCAGGTGGTGGAACCACTGAGCCAAATCCCCGGCCCTAGAAACTTTTTTTTTTTTTTTTCAAAGCATAAACTGAAGTATACTCTACCCAAGCTGCTTCCTGCACCTTTTTAACCTGTAACTCTGTCTTAGAAATGCATCCTACATTATTTTATACCTGCATGACATGCAAGTATTTTATGGTTAGAGCAGTTTGGGTTTTTTTTCAATATTAAGGATTCAGCCAGGGGCTTTTGCACTGGCTGCATCCCCAGTCCTTTTTATTTTTATTTTTTTATTTTGAGACAGGGTCTTGCTAGGTTGCCCAAGTTGGTCTTGAACTTGAGGTCCCCCTGCCTCAGCCTCCCAGAGGGCTGGCATGGCACGCCTGTGCCACCATGCCCAGCTGATAGACCACACTTTGCTAACCATGCGCCTGTAGAGAGACATTTAGTAGCTTATAATGTTCTATCTTTACATAGACGGTTGTCATGAAGACTGAAACGTGGAGATCAGTCACACCTACCTAAGAGCATTGTGTTGATTAAGTCAATTAGTTTGAGTGAAACATTTATAGCTACACTGGGCACGTGATGAGAGTTCAATAAACGTCAGCTCTTTGGGGCACATGTTCCACTTCCCCGTGCGCCAGCTGTTGGTAGGATGGACTCCTAGCAGTGGGACTGGCGGGTCAGAGGGTGTGGAGTTGACAGAAACTGCTGAACTGTCCTCCATAGGAGAGTATCCACTTACATTCCCAGTGTGGAGCGTGACATGGCCTCTTGCTCCCTCCCGCGCCAGAAGTGTTATGAATCCTTTTTGAGCTTTGCCAATCTGACAGGTGACAAACGTTATCTCGGCACAGATTTAATTTGCATTTTCCTAATTATGAGCATGGCTGAGCATCTTTTCATACGCTTTGGAGCCATCTGTATTTCCTTCTCAGTTGCAGAGATTGTTGGAATATAATGTCAAGGTGAAAGTCTTTCTTCTTTTCTGGCAGTCTCTCCAAGCCTCACTCTGTTCCTGTCTCTTTCATCCTTCTGGTTCCACTGTGTGTCTCCACAGCTGGACTAGAAATTCTTGGGAGGAGTCAGACCAAACACTATTGTCCCAGATCTAGAAGGGGCAGCCACCCCCAGTGGTGGAGGAATGGAATGTGTTGGAGGGTGGAAAGATGATGCATGGATGGATGGATGGCTGGATGGGACAGGGTGGATGGACGGACAGATGGATTTATTTTTTCTTTTTGAGACAAGGTTTCACTAAGTTGCTGTGTGTACCATCTATGTATGTGGTTGGTTTGTTTGGTACTGGGAATCGAAGTCGGGACCTTTTTCCCCATGGACAAGCTATGGATGAGAAAATCATAGTGTGCTGTGATGATATCCACTGGTAGTGGTTTGTTCTGAGTCTGGACATGGATGGCCTGGTTTGTGTAGTTAATGAGGGTCTGTAGTTATAGGTGTGTGTGTGTGTGTGTGTGTGTGTGTGTGTTCTATCTGGTAGTAGCCATGTTTTCAGTAATGCCATTTTTCACAATCAGGTGCTGCAAACCTCCCTTCCCACAATCTGCCTGTATGCACAATATATGTAGTAGAACTTGACAAGAGTTTTGGCTATAGAGTCGGGAATTTTTTTGGTATCAGTTATTGACTGCTGCGTAACAAATTTTCCCAAAACCTAGTCGCTTCAACATTTATGATCTCAGAGTTCTGTGGATCAAGAATCCAGGCATGGTAACTGGGCATGGCAGTACACAGCTATAATCCCAGCACTAGAATTGAAAGTTCAAGTCCAGCCTGGGCAGCTTGGCAAGAACTCCTACCACTCCACACCCGCTCCCCCCGACAAAAAAAGTAGAGCAATGCCCGTTTCCCATCCACGGTTTCATCTCTCCCCACTGACCACCCAATCGTACTCATGCAGCTAGGAACAGGCCCTCGCCCCCAAAGGGTCCCACCCTTCTCTCTAGATGCAGAAGGCATCAGGGCGGTGAACTCCTCTGGGCACCTGCAAGGATGTGGTTCTTGGAATTTCTCCATCTGTCCCGCCCAGTTCTCCAGGGAGGAGACTGAGTCCCCCCCGGAGGGCACCGATCAGATCTTCTTCATCAGAGTACCCCGTGAATCTACCTCAGGAGGGAGATTCATTTCTCAGCCACATTGACAGAGCCCCTGTTCTGTGCCAGCCTGGGGCTGGGCCAAGGGAAGACAGTGACAACTGTCACCGCCCTCGTGGGGCTCACTGCCCAGAGGCTTGGATGAGTAAGGAATTTGAGGAGGGGCTCTCCAAGTGTGGTCAGGGTACCCCTGGGGGTTCTTTTCAGGGGACCTGTGAGATCAAAACTACTTTTATAATAGTACTAAGACATCATTTGCTCTTTTTTTCACTCTAGTTCTTTCATGCACATACAGTGGAGCTTCCCAAAGGGCACATGACCCAGGATGAGGTCATTGCTCTGGTGGCTAATGGAACGCACACTTGTGTATTCTTGAGTTTAGAAAATGTCTCAGTGTCTTCTTCTATTATGGTAAACAGATTTAAGTCACGTGAACGAAGCTCTGTGGTCATCTGTGATTTTTACAAATGTAGAGGGATCTTAGAACCAAAACTTTTGAGATCTGTTGAATTAGAAATGTAGGAAGCCCAATGTGATGATATGAGCTTATAGTTCCCGCTACATGGGAGGCTGATGCAGGAAGATTTCTTGAGCCTAGAAGTTGAAGACCAGCCTGGAAGTCCCATCTCAGAAACAACAAAAAAAATAGAGATTCTCCATGAAATGTGTGCTGGATGAGTGAGTAAAAGACCTATAGATATAATGACCACATCTCACCTACCTGACTCAAGTGACCCTCATGTGACCTTTAGAGCCTCATGTGACCCAGGAGGTATGTTGCATTCTGCTATGTACGTACAGGGCAGCCCAGTGAACGCTCATTCATTCATTCAACAACCACTCGCAGATTAAAACTGGCCCCAGACCTCAGAAAACGCTTGATGTAGGGATGAGACATGTGAGTTTGCAGATCACGTAGGAAGTATGAATGTCTGCAGGCAATTCTGTGGGACACATGGTCTTCAGCAGGAGGGGAGTGATGGGGCAGGGAAGACACAGTCAGTGGGGACATTTGCAGGGGACAGCAGGGGGCTGGGCTCAGGGCTGTCACAGAAAGGGAAGTGCGGTTGCTTGACGGAGATGTCCAGAGAAGTAGCATCCGCCCAGCTATGGACGAGGAAGGGCATCCCTGGCAGCTGCCACAGCCTGTCCGCAAAGGCCACGTGGCCTGTCAGCAACAACACAGATCAGCGCGTGATGAGGTTGAGAGGGAGGAGGCACCACCGTGGAAGGCTTGGGTGTCTGGTAGGAATCTGGAAGCTTCTGACCCTGGCCTCCCGTCCTTCAGACCCAGGCGGCTGCTGTCCCCCTCCACGCCCCTGCACTGCCTCGCTGCTGCCCCACGGCGGTCACTGAGTACCTCAGTGCCTGTCACCTCGGGGCCTTTACACAAGAAGTCCCCAGCAGCCTGAAATGATCATCTCTGACTCCTCTCTTCTTCATCATTTAACTCTCAAACACCTTCGGGCTTCCAGTGTCCCCACCACCAGGAAGCCATCCCTGATTACCATCCAGGTCGTCCCTCTGTCACACTCCACCCCTCACAGCACCATGGCGCTCTCCTTAGTACCGTACTGTCTGCAATTCGGCACCGGCTGTATACCACGCTAGGAATGGATTTACAAGAAGCTTATAGTCAGGCACAGAGAGACTAATACATTAGGAGCAGACACAGGTAGTAACTATTAGGACACAACAGCTAACACTTACAGAGCACTTGGGACTTGCCAGGCATTATTTCAAATGTCTTCTTTTTTTATTTTTTCATCTTTCAGAAAACATTTTGGATTTGTCTCACATTACTATTCTGCCCAAGCTTTTTATTGTGGAAACTGTCAAGCCTACAGATATGTGGAAGGCTGGTAGGAGGGACCCCCTTCTATTCTTAACCATTTGCTTGTCCCCGATTCACTCATCATTAGAATGTTGCCACGTTTGTCCCTTCTTGATGTAAATTTTTCCCTTGAATCAGTTTTGGGAGTAAGTTGCAGACATGGTGGTTTCTTTATCCCTCAAACATTTTGGCAAGCAGCATCCAAGAACCACCGCAGTTTCACTGGGACGCCCAGGAAATTTAAATAATATAGTATTATCTCATATATGCTAATCTATGTGAATGATTCCAGTTGCCTTCAAAAATGAGCCTTAAAACTAGGATTTCTCTCCCCTCCAGGACCCAGCCAGGAATCATGGACCACATGTGACTATCAGGACTAAGTGGTTTTAAAATGTCAGCCGGGGCCAGGATTTAGCTGAGTGGTTCCACCACCTGCCTGGCAAGAGCAAGGTCCTGAGTGTGATCCCCGGTACCAAGAAAAAGAAGAAAAAGAAAAGAAAATGTCAGCCAAGCATTTATAGAGGAGCTTACTATCTCCATTTTACAGATGAGGAAACTGAGGCATGGGAAGGTTAAGTCTCTTGTCCAAGCTGTGTAGTCTGAGAGTAGGGAGATCTGTTGGTTTTTATTGTCTGCCTGCCTTTCTCTTGACCCCTTGTGTTCTACTCTCCACCCTGCAGGCAAGTGGCTCTTTTAAAACTGCAAATCATATTAGGTCATCTTCTGCTCAAACCGCCACCATGGCTCTCCACTTCTCTCTGAATAAAATCCAGAGCCCTCCCAGTGGCCTGCAAAGCAGAATTTGCACCTCCCATCAGCTCTCTGGCCTCATCTCCCTCTCTCGCTGCACACTCCTCCTGGTCAACCACACTCTCCTTGCTATTCCTCCAGCCCACCGGCCACACGCCAGCCTCAGGGCCTTTGCACTGTCCCTTGGCCAGCAGTGCTGTTCCCCAGATTTGGTTTGTTTGTTTGCTTGTTTGGTACCGGGGATCAAACTTGGAACCTTGTGCTTGCGAGGTAGGCGGCGGCACCACTGAGCTAAATCCCCAGCCCTTGTTCACCAGATATTATCAGGGCTTATTCTCCTTTAAGATTTACCCAGGATCTGAGGGTGTAGCTCAATGGTAGATTGATGCATGAGGCCCTGAGTTCAATCCCAGATTCTGCCCCCCACAAAGATTTACCCCAATACCAGTATTTCAGTGAAGTTCTGTAGGCCTCCTTCCTGCCTTTTCATCCTAGCACTGGCTGCTGACATCTTGTGTTCTTCACAGAGTCAGTCTCATGCCCACTGCAGGGCCGGCTCGGGAGGGCGGGCCGGGCTCTTTGGTTGTCTTCAGTGGCCACCTGGTCGCTGTCCCCGCAGCACGTGTTCTGTGAGGAGTGCCTCTGCCTGTGGCTGGACCGCGAGCGCACCTGCCCACTCTGCCGCTCGGTCGCCGTGGATACGCTGCGCTGCTGGAAGGACGGGGCCACCTCTGCACACTTCCAGGTGTACTAGGGCTGGACCTGAGGATGCCCGGCAGATGCCTCGGGGTCTGCATTCAGGCCCTGTGCCGGGGGCTTCCAGGAAAACAGTCTCTTACTTCAGTCATGGCCAGCTCCAGTCCCGAGGGCAAGCCTGGGCTTTCACCTTCACCACGCACCCCTTCCTCCCTCCCGTGTTCTGCGGGGCAGTGTGAGCACCCTTCCCCTCCTCGCTCAGACGCCGTCTCCCCCAGGTAGGTCATCTGTCCCCTCTGGGTCAAGGAATCTGTAACACAGGGAGTTCCCCATTCTCCTAACCTAGTACTGAATCGCTAGAGGAGGCTGGCAGTCACTGCCTCTCCAAATGGCCCAGGCCTGCAGATCAGTGTCACTGTAGTCATCAAAATCCAACCACTGAACCCACCGTCCGCGCAGAGTAACTTCATGAACCCATCACTTAGCATGTGCCGGGCACAGCCTGGAGCATCCAGCTCAGACCACTTCCGGTCATCCTCACCACAGTCCTGTCGTGGAGGTACTCTTTGGCTCCCCATTTACTAGGTGAGGGGACTGAGGCACCCAGTGTGGGGGGGTGACTTGCCCTGGGGTCACCCAATTAGCGAGGGCTTAGCTGAGTCTCCAGCCGACGAGGGCCTGGTCTGGCTGCAGAGGCTGCAAGTGTGGGGCCCAGCCGACCTGGGAGGTTGAAACACAGTGGATGATTTTAATGACTTGTGGCCTTGCTGGGTATGGTGGCACATGCCTGGAACGCCAGCACTTGGGAGACTGAGGCCAGACCAGGAGTCTGAAGCCAGCTTGGGCTACATAGAAAGATCCTGTCTCAAAAAAAGAAAGGAAGTGGGCCTGGGGTTTAGCTCAGTGGTGCTGCCACCTGTCTTGCAAGTGCAAGGTCCCGAGTTCGATCCCTGGTAGAGAGAAAGAAAGAAAGACTGCACTACAGGTGTCCTTCATGTTGGGTACGGACCACACTGTGAATGTGAACCATGCGCACCAGCCCATGAGATCTGCTAGTGGCTGGCCCCATGGAAAGACTTGTTCCTTAAAATTGTTTTCCTGGGCTCCGGCTGCAATGCTCAATCCCATGGGTTCAAGAAGGGTCGCTTTGGCCCAGATATGGATATCACTGGGTCTCCCATTGCTGTTTCTTTTCTCTGCCTTTTATTTTGTCCTCTCCCTCACTTGCATCTCCGGCCTGTCAACAGCTTCTGTGGACATGGCTGTCTCTCCTGGGAGCCCTCAGAGCAAAAGGGACAATCCATGTTATGGATTTTTCTTTGAGCCACTGTGGTGGCAAGGACCATAGTAGGAGCCATGTTTTTGCAGTCTCTAGGACAAAGCTGTTGACCTACAACTCCTGCTTGGAAATGTGGGATACGATGGCACAGGTGACACAGAAGCCACTGGAATCTTGCCCGCCCCACTCCTCTCGTTCTGTTCTCCTGGCACCAGCGGCATTACAGAGAAAGCCTCTGTCTGGCTAGTGAGCAGATTAGCATACAAGCCCCAGGGATTGATTATAGCGGAGCCCTGCTCCCCCCAGTAGATGCGGGACATTTGTCCCTGTGTGCCACCATGCCTGGACTTCATCTTTTGCTTGATATCTTTGGCTCTTTCCGGGTACCCAGCAAGACATCCCTTCCAGGGCAGCATGGCATCTTTCAAGCTCTGTTACTATGGCGATGGCCGTGATGTTAACAATCCTGCTTGCCTGGATAACCAAGTAGGAAGGGGAAGCAGAGAGAAACGCTCGCCCCTTCTCCAGAGGGAAGCAACAGGCACTTCCGCACCTGGTTTTTATCAGAAATTCGATAAAAGCAGCATCGTGCCGATGCTGTCAGGCACTAGGACCCGGAGCTGGACAAGATTTATTCAAGTGTTGGCATGGGATGGAGAAGACAGAACAGTCTGTTGGGAGTCAGACCTGAAATCCTGACTGCAAACTCTGCGTGACTTTGGGAAGTCTCTTTACCTCCTGGCACCATCTCCAGGTAGCGAAAGCTGGTGTGTTGTTTGCTGGGAACAAGGAAACTTAACAATGTGTATTACTGGTGAATACACCAATGGTTTCCCCAATTATACCCGTGCCACCAGAAGAAGTTTTCCCTGAACGTCTTGCTGATAATGAGCCATGCCTCTGACACCGTGAAGATTGTCACCTGCGGGGGACTTCTGGGGGCAGGTGGGAAGGTTTAGTTTAGAGCATTATTTATTCATTCCCTACTCTCCAGGGAGACTGCATCTGGGGGTTTTCCTTCTGAAATTTCCAAGCACCAGGCTGCACAAATTCTCCTATGCTGGAGGGAAAGCAGCCAAGAGTACCTGCTGAAACAGAACAATGTTGCTGTCCTTTACCCATGTTCCCTGTAACTCATTTATTAAAAACAGGATTAATCAAGTATCAGGTTCTGAATGCCCTGCTCTTAATATTTTATGTTTCAATATTTTATGAGTCACGGAGTGGTCAGAAATAAACAGTGCTGTTCATATAAACAAACCCCAGAGTAATCAATGTATGGGAATAAGGAAGGCAGGCTTTGGACTTGGATGTAATAGGTTCCCCACCTTCCAAAGAAGAGGCTGCGTGGAGCCCCGAGGACATCCCAGCTGCTAAGGAGGGCGTGTGACCATCCTGGAGTCTTTTATTACTTCCGTTCTGGGACCAACAGCTGCCTCTGGTGTCTTTGTGTCTCCTTAAGTACCCTCTGCCAATAAATGTCATCTGTTGATGGAACTCAGGTTCATGTCTTAATTATCCTGTCACTTCTTGAAGGCAAGTGGAGCAGCTTCAGGTGAAATGAGAAGCAGTACTTTGGCGGGGCGGGGGTGTCATGATCTCCTGTCTGTTCCCCCCAGAGCACAGCCTACTGAGGTGCGTGTGATTTATTAGGGGCAAGGGAAAGAGTAGCCCAGGGAGGAAGGTGAGCTAGACTGCAACTTCTGGGGAGCCTCCAGCCTCACCTCGCGATCCCCAGCTCCACAGAAATACACCAGCCAGTCCTCAGCTCTGGGGTTGATGGAGGTGGGATTGGCATTTCAGGCTCTCCACTGAGGAGGCCCCCATGTCCAAGGAGAGAGCCCTGGGCACCTCGGGTGCCAACACGGCACACAGCTACAGGATGGGAACACAGAATTAGGAGGACGCATGAAGAAGGCCTCAGAGGGGCACCCACGCTGCCTACTAGTGGGGCTGCCTACCAGTTGTATGGGGCCAGTGCATGCTGATTCAAGAAGGGTTTGCCTGGGCGCCAGATGATGATGGATATTTAGGTATAAATTGTTAGCATTAGTTAAGAATTCTGTGTCTCTCTAAGTGACATGGTGATGTCTACCACAGAAGACATCATCAGGCGACCTTTTTGGTTGCCATTGTTAGAAAACCAATTCAAATATGGCTTAAATATTAAAAGTTATTATTTGGTCCCTGTGACCCCATGGGCTTCAGGTGATGCTATGGAATTCTGTGTCTCCATCCGCCAATTCTGTTTTCCTGGGTCACACATGGTGGTAAGATGACCCTGCAGCTCTATGCTTATCTTCCAATAGCTTTGAGACCTTAACAAGGACAGCTTTTTACATCCCCAAAGCTCAAGCCAGCATCCTAAGGTTAACTGTCATTTATTTGTCTTCAGATCAATTACTAGAGCCTGTGGGGTGTGAAGTGTGGGCCTAGATCAGGTGCTGAGCCTTGGAGGTGAAGATGGAGATGAGTAGAAGGCTGATGTCAGCCCCTCTAAGTCACCTGGACTGGGTTGTGTCTCCAAAGGAAAAGGGAAGGTCTATTATCTAAAAATAAACCATTCGCGATCCACCATTCTTGGGAAGAGACTTGAACCTGAGCTCTCGATATGTCCCAGACCAAGAAAATGCAGGGGAAAGAACCCAACCAGAGTGACCTATTTGCCCATAATTGGGGACATTAACCGACAGACTCATTTACTTATCCATATGCTGTGCATAAATCATGGCTTTGTGCCCTGACTTCAGCGCTTCCTCCAAACCTGTTGCCCAAGCCAGAGGCACTGTTTAAGTCACCCCTTCCCTTGAGCGGTTCTCAGGACTTAGTGAAGGTGTTAAGTGGGTGGCCCTCTGCTGCAGGGAAGGTTGGGGTGTGGAGGACCCAAGATTCTGTATCAGTGGTACAGCCAGATTGTCCTAGGGTCTTTGAGGCCCAGCCTTCCGAGTGGAAATGAAAACACAAAAGCCTTTGGCTAGAAGTGCACAGCCAATTTTTTAATAAAACCATTACAAATATGTACAAAGCATTTCCAAGGTATGAAATTCCTCTTACAAAAGAGCACAATGAACCAACAATGTCAGAACCCAGAACGGAACGTCCCCAAGCTTATTGCCTCTCTGGCTGGGCCAGGGGCCCCATCAAGGTTCCAGATACCCTCACAGCCATCCCTGCCAAGCACCAGGACTCCTTGGTGCTTATAGTGCAAAAGACCTAGGGGGAGTAGGTGGGGGATCGAATGGGAGAGAAGGCAGGGGGTAAGAAAAGCTTCCCACCCGCACCATGGTCACACAGGTCCTGTGTGCAAATTAGATGCTCGTACCCCAGACCAACTGAAACCAGGAACGCAAAGGGTCGGGAATGAGTCCATAAAACCCCCCTAACCATCAGCCTGCTCCCAGGGTCCTCCGTTGTGACACTTCCCAGGGGGCCCAAATCAGACTCCCAGCTGCCATCGGTACTTGCCCTAGCAAGGCTGTGGCCCACCTCAGAAGAGACCAGGCAGCTCACGTGCTTGGCGAGGCCACACAGCATTGAATCCCAACTCTGGCTCAACCATTCCCCGTTTGGGCAGGCTTTGACAACGCTGCTTAAACTCTCAGAGCCTCAGCTGTCGAATGAGACTAACTGTACAGTCAGCTAGAGTGGCTGTGCAGACTCGCAAGGGAGCAGATGTGCAGAGCACTTTCCGCAGTGCTCGGCAGTGGGCACGCTCCGAAGGGGGAGGTCTGGTCACTGAATAAAGCAGCGAGGACCAGTCTTGTGGGCTAGGAATGAGTCGAGAGTGCGAGCTTCTTGGTGTGAGCTTCTTGGTCAGCTGATACCGTGGCACGTGATAAATACTATGTAACAGGCTGCTGGCAAGGCTTGGGATCACAGTGGTGACCTGACCAAATCTTGAAAATGTGTGAAGCAGACTGGAAAGGGACATTTCACACCATCTGGTCCCAAGCAAGACTGCCCCTTCACGATCAGTAAGTCCGTCTCCTCTGATACGGAGTTCTACAACCTGCACACTGTCGAGGCTCAGTTAATATGTGGTGAGTGACTCGATGAAAATTTTTAAACTAAACTTTCAGTTTAAGCTTTAAAATGACACTTTGACACCAGCTTCCTCCCTCCACGGAGTTTCTCCATGTGGCTCCCCTGGGACTAACTGGTGTCTTAACTGTGCCCCCAACTCCGACTCCCTAACCAACTTCTGTCCTCTGATTCCCTTGGGTTGACTTAAGGGAGTCTTCAGAAAAGAGTTTGAGGTCAACACAGAACAAGAAAATCTGTGTTCTGGTCGTTGCAGCTTCTAACACCAAGTGGACACTGAAAAAAAGTCCACAGTGCTGATCCAGTGTCCCCAAAAGACGCTTGTGTAGGAAGAGGACACATGAAGACCTCTCAGTCAGTTTCCCAGCAAGGGAGAATGATATTTTTTCAATGTCAGAAATATGACAAGAGAGATAGGACTACATGAGATCAGCTACATAAATTGCAAAACCAGTCACAGCCTCATTGTTCTGTGACAGTATTGTTTAAATCACCATTTTCCCCATATCAAAATAGAACGGAAACAAAAGGAGACCACTAAAAAGTGTGGAAAAGAAATCTCCAGTACGCCAATAAAGGTGGGGAGCTGGGGACGTGGGGATGGGAATCTTTTTGAGGAGACGCCACTGCCTTGGGACCATGGACAGCGGCCAGCGAGGCTCAGGGACTCCCCGAGAAACTTACTCAAAACTGTATCTGTGACAAAGGAAATAGGAAAGGGAACCCCAAATTTGAAGAGCTGTTGTTTGTGGGGGATGGGGGCAGGAGAAAAGCTTCTAGAAGGGAATGGATCTTATCTGGAAGGCTTGGGGTCCCACAGGGGGCTTCAGTCCCTAAGGCTCCCGGACCCCCACCTTCTAAGAGCAAGCAGCACCATCGGGAATGAGGAGGGAGAGGGCCCCTCACCTCATTATGCAGCCAGCTACCTAAGCGATGATCTCAGAGGCCTCCTTCTGCTTTACACGGACACACACACACACACACACACACACACACACCCACCCATGCACACACTGCTGTCTGCTGAAACCCGATATGAGGTCTTTTTTAAAATTTATTTCAAAGCCTCCCTCCCTCCCTCTCTCCGGCTCTCTTCACAGCCACTCTGCCGCGAAGCTAATCAAAATCAATGACTCCTTGGCAGCCGGAGGGAAGGGGAGGGGTGCCAGCACTTTGCACACTGGGGAAATCTTTTTCTAAAAAACACATACAAAAAAGATCCATCCCACTATCTCATGCAATCCAAGTAATGCAACAGGCGAGATGGTGGAGACAATATATACATATATATCATGCTTCAATTTTCTAATACAAATGTCCGTCAAGAAGTCAAATCTCATATAAAAACAAGCATTAAAAACAACCCCTTGTCAAAAATCGGGGCAGTGGAGACGTGCACTCAAATTAATGATATGCAAGAAAAGGTCAGGATTTGATAAATACATGGTTTCGAATAATACATGAGAATATGTACAGGGGACTTGGCTGTAAAGCTCCATCGGGAGGCCATGGGTACACAGTTCTCTCAGCAACGTGGCTTCATTGACATCGAAATTGCCCCAAATGCCAGCCCCAGAGTTCGGACTTTGGATCCTCAGGGGAAATGTCCTAAGCTAGAGGGCAAGTCAGGGTCCTGGGGGAGAAAAATGGGCTCCTCTGACCTTTCACCCTTTCCTTGGGTCTCCAGGGGCCAGCACGTCCCCACTCAATCTTAAAGGTACAGCCTTCAAGAGGCAGAGAATTGTAAGTGCACACAACTGTAGTAATGGGAACCCTGTCCCCAGAAAACGATCGGTAGGACTTTTGTCACTAGCTAGGAAAAGGACAAAAACACAAGCAGAGACCACTGCAGTGAGTCTGTCCTCCATAAGTCCCTGACTCAGTGGGTGCTCATCTCCTCCCCTCCTCAGCCCTTACCTGCTCACTGGTCCCTGCACACCTGCGGGAAGGCTCTAGTGATGGGCAAAAGCTTTCCTAAGAAACCAGCTTTCCTTTTTGTTTTGCTGAGTTCAGCTCAGGAGGGGTATGAAGTCCAGGGCGGGGTTGGGGGGGGTCCCCTCTCTTTCAACAGTTCTGGGTTGCATTTTTTCTCGAAAGGACTCTTTTTTTTTTTTTTTCCCCTCTCCTTTTTTCCTTTTTTTCTGAAAGGACTCTTTCGGTAAACATAAGGCATGGATTAGAAAAACAGAAGAAAGAAATCCACCTCTCAGCTTGCCCCAACCCTGACAGGTTGTACAGACTTGGGGACCTGGTGGTTTTCAGCGAAAGATCACTCCCCTTTCAGCCCCCTGTACTGTAACAACCCCTGCTTCTGCCGCTGGCTTCTTAAACGAGGGGTGTCTGCTCCCCAGCCCAGCGGGCCCTGTCCCTAGGCACTAGCTGGTGACTTGCAAAGTCAGCCTTGTAGATGGACTCTGAGCCTGCAGCCCCACACCTTGTCTCAGCTTTGAAAATGGCAGTTGCCATGTGACACTCTGCCCACCCAGAGAAATAATACCTGCTTTCCTTCAATTTTTAAAAACGAAAGCAAAAAATAGCCGTGGCTCCCTACAGAGCCTTTGCAGCCAAGTCTCAGTCCAGCACACATCTTCTTTTTAGCCCTTCTAGAAACTTCTGAAAATAGTAGCTTATGGGGAAGGGGGTCAGCCCTCTGACAGTCAGTGAGGTGTGGGTACATAGTATCTGAATGACCCGCTCCCTCTCCCAATGTCCCTTTCTTATAAATCACCCTCCAACGGAAAGTAGCCATTTCTTGGCTCTTTAACCCATAAAACCTAAGTCCTGAAATCCCCTTGGGGAGCAGAAGGAGGCCATGGGCTGGACTCCCGGGATACTTCTGCAGGAGCAGAGGAGACAGCAGCCCATCCGCCGCACTCAAGGTCAGCTTTTCATCTCCTCACCAGCCAGCCCCTCTCCTCGTCCCTCCCAGACTCCAGGGTTTGCTTCCCAGCACCTCTGGGCTTTCACCCCTGCACAGAGAAAGAGAGGAGACTCTCAAGTGGCACTTTTGCGAATCATCCCTTAAAAAAAAAAAAAAAAAGTGAAACAGCAAAATAGAGAACTCTCTCATCCCCCTGGTCTTCCAGGTCTGTCAACAGAGGACCGTGGTAGTGCCAGGAAAAACACACTAGCACCAGAAAAATTGAAAGTGAAGCACCAGAGACACCAGACTGGGAGAAGGGAGGGGGAAATCCCCATTTCTCTGGCCGTGATGATAGGATCTAGCAATCTATCTCAGTGAGGACACAGAGAGAGGCTAGGACATGTCACAAAATGGACGTACCCCAGAATGCCCCTAAAGAGTCGGCCCCAAGTCCTCACTCACTCGTTTGTTCTCTCTTGCCTTTTGCAATTTTACCTCTTAATTCCACCAGCATCTATGCCTGGGCAATTGGTAGGTGCCGAGGCTACTCCCCACCAGTCTTTGCAAATTTTCTAGGTACACAGCAGCGGGCATCTCTCTTCTGGTGCCCCAGACATTACAAAGTATCAGAGTTCACATCGCAAGGTGCAGAAAGGGAAGGGACCACGTCCTCGACAAGGCATGCACTGATACGTAATATTCATATTTTCTCTTTTTGTTGTATATATAGAGCTATATGGAAATAGCATTGGGGTGTCTGTTTCTGCAGCTGGCTTTCCCAAGGGCTTCCCCAGTCCTGTTCTGTGTTTCCACTATCTCTCCAGGTGCCGTCTTTATCTTCCAGTTCCTTCTCGAAGTGCCAACCGCGGCATTTCAAGCTCTGGGCTCCCCCTCAGGAAAACGGGAACCAGCTTTCTCCAAGGACACAGGGTTTCGCCAACCTGCAGAAATAAAGATGTGTAGTTTGGTGAGTGTGGACAGCTGCTAGGGAGACATCAGAGCTGTTGGCCTCCGAGAAGACAGCCTGGGGTTAGGGGACAGGAGCTGCTAGGTTTTCTGACTTTGGAAACATTTCCCAAAACCTAAGCTAGCGCTCCTCCCGAGCCCTTAGAAGTAGCAGCCTTCCTTGTATGGACATTTGTGTGTGAACACACACACACACACACACACACACACCCCTCGGGTTTCAGACTTGGGTATTTACACTGGCATCTTCTGAGTTTTGGTTTTTTTAAAAGAAAGAATCTAGAGCTATATTGACTTTTTGCTCCTCCAATTTAGGAACAAAGCGTTTCATCTATTCATTTCATATATTCCTATTCAAGGCAGAGTCGCAGACAGTCTGCTCCTTTAGTTTTCTCACTCACTCATATGTGCGTTCATCCCCAAGTACCATCTTAGGTGCTATGCAGCTAGTGTCTTCATTCCTGTCCTCAAAGGGCTTGGGGCCAACAGCTGCAGACAGGGAGAAACCGATCATGCAAACTGGCCGGAAAAGCAGGCGTGAGCTGGGGAAACGTGGGCTATGGGTGCCCAAGGGAACGGCAGCTCGCAAGGGAAAATGGGAGCCAGAGAAAGCTTCTCAGAGAAAGAGCCAAGTCCCTGCCGGGAACTGAAGGGTGCCGAACAACTAACTGAAATAAGATGTGCACTTCGGGCAGAGCAGGAAAAACAGCACATACCCAAGAGCGCCAAAAACTTACATCCACAAAAACTTGCATGCGCACTGCAGTATTTATTAATCATAATCAGCCAAAAGTGGAACCAACCCTGACGTTCCAGATGGTTAATGGATAGGCTGACTAAGCAATGGCGTATTATTTGGAATGAGACATTACTGATACCTGCTACAAGACAGACGAACCTTGAAAACATTATGCTAAGTGAGAGAAGCCAGACGCCAAAGGACAATTATTATATTATTCTGTTGCATACGAAATGCCCACAAGACAGTTCTTTAAGACAGGAAGTTGAATGACTGGAAGTTACTTACATATGAGGAAATGGGAAGAACTGGGAAGTGCCTGTTAATGGGTACAGAGATTGTTTTGGGAGCACGAAAATGTCCCAAAAGTAATAATGGCACAATAAATATACTAAAATACAGAATATATTACAAAATTAAAAAAAAAAACACTGACTTGTACACTTTGAAAGAATGGATTGTATGGTTACAAGTTAGAAGGGGAGATTAAAAAAACATTTCACACATTTGTCTGAAACAGGTGAAACTGGAAGCTCCCTGTGGGAGTAATACAAACTAAATAGCATAGGAGAAAGCGGGAGATCACAATATTACTTCCGGGTTGGAAAGTATCCCGGATGTTGACTGTAAGAACGGAACCACCAGCTTCCACGGCCTCTGGCCTCCTGCTGGACCTGGCCAACAGGAAAAACAAATGTAAGTAAGATCCTGGATATTTATTTCCCAGCTATCTCCCCGCTGGTTCCAGATTGGCCGCAGCACCCGCCAGACCACTACAGCCTCCCTCCCACCTCCCCTCTGTGGCCAACCCTGCAGTGCGGCACTGTCCCTTACTGCTTTCCTCAACTCTGCCTACGTCATCACCCTTGGACCCTTACTAAACTCTCCTCTGGTGACTCAGCTTAGGGCTACCCTCTGCCTCTTACTTGGACACTGACTAATAATCTGACTGCATGGAAAAAATGAGTCATGAGCACATGGTCCCCCACTATCTACACTAGGTGACAGTCACAAGGATCCAAATCAGTGACTACAAAGCTTTTCTTACTGACCTGCTGAGATAAGAGACAAAAGACAGCTGCAACATCAGTCAACTCCACTGATAAGCACACTTGATTCAGCTTATGAAGTCAACTTTTGTAACCCCTAAAACAATCTCACTTATTTGGTTTCTAGCCGCAAATCTAGAGTGAAGGTCAGCAGAATCCTGCAGCATTAGTCTGTAACAATATGCTGCCTTAAAGACAGGTGCAGAGTAGCTCAGCAGAACAGCACCTGCCTGGTCAGTGCCAGGAGGTCCTGAGTTCAATCTCTGGTACCAAAAAATAAATAGGTAAATAAATAAAGAGGGACGGTAGCCAGGCATGGTAGCACATGGCTATAAGCCCAGCATTCTGGAAGGATGAGGCAGGAGGATCACAAGTTTAAGCTCAGCCTGGGCAATTTAGCAACTTAATGAGACCATATCTCAAAAAAAAAAAAAAAAAAAGGACTGGGGTTGTAAATCAAGGTGTGAAGGCCTTGGGCTTAATCCCCAGTACTGCAAAAGAATGTTTATTGAGCACCTGCTAATCCTAATTGCTATTCAGTGTGCTGGCTGTGTGCTGAACATTCTTCTCCCTACTAGAGAAGGCCAAGTGCCAGCCCTCCACTTGCTTCCAGTCTTTTGGAGAAGACATGGCAAGCAGACACCACTACGGGAAATGACCATTGTCCCAAGGTATACTCTAGCTCAGAAGTCAGTGTGGGACTCCATTCACCAATGAAGTTTTGGTGAAAATGTGGAATTTTCATGGGGATTTCTAATTTGTGTCCATACTTGGACATAAGGCGGGATCATTGAGACTAAGGGGCCATGCAAGATGGAGGGAAGTGATGAATATGACTTACAAAACCGTGAGGGGCGAGAAACTGCATCAGAAAGTCATAGGAACCGAGGTGGTGGCAGATAAGCTGAACACATGATGAAGAAAAACTATGGCTTGGGCTAGGGATTTAGCTCAGTGGTTCCTTCACCTGTTTGGCAAGTGCAAGGTCCTCAGTTTGATCCCTGGTATAAAAAAAAAAAAAAAAGGCTTCAAGAGAGATGGGAGAAGCTGTTTTTTGGTTTTTTGTTTTTTAAAAAGCTGTGGTCGACTGCATTCACAAAAGGAATGGGATTTTCTTCCAAAGCTAGGTGAGTCCAGCAACTGATTTCACTTTTCCTACCTGTGTCATTGAACTAGCAATGAATCTAAATTAGTTAGATTTCCACTATTATAACAAAATACCTGCAATTATCAATTTAGAAAGAGAAAGGTTTCTTTTGGCTCACACATTGGGAGACTTTATTCTCATTTCTTTGGGCCCTGTGGTGAGGCAGCAGATCAAGGCCAGGAGCACAGCTGTGGTACAGCGGAGCTGCTCACTCACCTCACGGAGGACAGGAAGGAGTGAGGAAGAGGGAGGGGCTGGGTCCCTTTATCCACTTTCACTAGGCTCTGCCCCCTAAAGGTTCCACCACCTTCTCCAGTAACACCACAGGCTGGGAATGAAGCCTGTAACACTAGGGGATTTGGGGGTCATTTATCCAAACCCTAGTTCTGGAGCTGCTACTCTAGAACCCATTTCCTCCATGGTACAGATGGGGATCTGCAGTCACACAGGAGCCCCAGAAAAATCTTTGCATAGCAGGTGTGTGCCCTACTCTGTGGATGCCATACAGCCAGGCCTCCAGCCAAAGAGTGGGCTTGTGCACACCCTTCTGGAGGGATCTGGCCACAGAACTAATCACCCACAAGTATGCTCAAACATGTCCCCTCCGGTAGAAAGAATTAAGAATGTTAAGTACAGTACATGTACCTACTGCCTAAGATGAAGGCAGACATTATGTACTACAAAAGTGTCCTCATAAAAAATTTGCCATAACAAAAGAATGTCCCCTCCGGCATGATGTGTAATAACAGCAGCAATTCAGAAACAATCCATCTGTTTATCAATGGAAGACTGGATTGATAAATTACACTACACACATATTAGAAAGACACAGATGTAAATGTGATGAGAAAGAATGATGGCTTTGCTTCTTAAAGGAAAAAAGAGCAAATACCAAAAAGCATGATCCAAAATCTTTTTTTTTTCCTTTCTGGTCCTCAGTTTCCTTAGCTAGAAAAAGAAGACAGGAATAGTGCCAATTTCATAGTGGTGAATTAGGAAGACTAAAAGTATTAACATGTGCACAACACTCAGAAGCAATGAAACATAACAAGGTCTGCATTGCTTGTTATTGATTCCAGAGAAGTAGATTTAGGGATGTAGTAAAAGAGAACCTGAAATACTTTATATACTCTGATCTGCATCATTTATTTCACTTAATACATGTACATATGTAGTTTTCTTTCTTTTTTAATTTTTAAAGACGGGGTCTTGCTAGTTGCTAAATTGTCCAGGCTGAGCTCAAACTTGCAATCCTCCTGCCTCAGCCTCCCAGAGTGCTAGGATTCTAGGTATGTACCACCTTGTCCTGTTCACCCATCCTTTCTTTATTTTCTTTTCCTTTTCTTTCTTTCTCCTTCTTTCTTTCTCCTCCTTCCTTCGTGTTCTTTCTTTCCTTCTTCCCCGCCTTTTTCTTGTTTTCCTTGCTCCCTCCCTCCCTTCCTCCCTGCCTATCTCCCTTGCTTTCTTTCTTTTTTTATTTTTTTCCTCTTGCTCCTTTCTTAGCAACACATAGTAATTGAACAATGTAAAACTACTTTTGAAGCATCGACTCCACGTGCCGGGGGAGCCAGTGCTCTGCCCTGGAATGTTCCCTCACACTTGGTTCATAAGTACTTTCTCAGATGCCAACTCACATCCAAAGTTCATGCCTGGAAAGATTCAGGAAACGCCTTGGGAAAAGGTCTGCTTCCACTTTTCACCCACGACATGGATGGGGCAGGTGAGCAGAAGGAGAAACGTGAGCCTCCATGGTCCTTCCAGGTAGGAACTGTGACCTTGATCTGGACCTTAACCAAGCCGCAGCAGCAGGTGCAACAGGGGCTCTCTTCTTTCCTCAGACACCTGGGAGTTAGGACTCTTGGATTCTCTCCTAGATGGCCCCCATTTTTAATTTCAAGAAAAATGCCTGGTTTTCTCTTGTTATGTGCACAAGTAGTCATAGAGCCAGACAACATGGGAGAATATAATCATGAACGCCCCCTCATTCCACCTGAAGCCCCTCTCGCCTGCCCAGGGGCAGCTGGTGTAACCTCTGGTTAT